TGGACGTTTAGGCTGTTTCCATGCCTTGGCTATTGTAAATAGTGCTGCTATGAACATTAGGGTGCATGTCTCTTTTCAAATTAGAGTTTATTTCCTTTTGAAAGAGGGGTAGGAATCAGATAGGCACAGGCAGGGCTGGGACAAGGTGGGGGGCACACTGCTTCTGGCAGAGTGAGCAGCAGGTAGCATCCAGCCCTCCCTCCCCAAGCTCCTTCAGGGCCCTGCGTGATGTCCACTAGGGCACACATCACCTGCACACAGGGAGCCCCTCCAGGGCAGGGGTTGGGTCAGAGCATGCCTAGGAACCCAGGGACCCAGGGAAACGTTTACTGCATGAAGGAAGGATTCAGGAGGAAGATGCTGAGCTCCTGGCTGAGATGCGGCCCCTGAAGATCAGAGGAGGGGACGGGGAAGAGGTATTTGGGGAAAGGGGCGTGGGCGGGCTGGGAGAGGGATGACAACTTGCTAGAGCTTCATGCCACCTGGGCAGTTTTTGCCTGTTCGTCCACAGCTGTGTCTCCAGTGTTTTGTTTTTTTTTAAACAGATGTACTGCGGATGGAACCCAGGACCTGGGGCATACTGAGCATGCGCTCCACCACTGAGCCCTACCTACCCCTCCCCCCATACCCTCCCCTTCTCCCACCAAGGAAGTAGTGCCAGACTGATAGAACCACATGTCAGTGTCAGTCACCCATCAAAGGCGGACCACACTTTCTGTTTTCACTTGATTCTTTTTTTGTGGGGGGAGTAATTTAAAGGTTTTCATTTATTTTAACAGAGGTACTGGGGTTTGAACCCAGGACCTCGGGCATGCTATACCTTCCCCCTTCGCTTGATTCTTAACCACAAACCCCCAGGTGGAGACAACGGGAAAAACAGCTACCTCTTAGAAACACGTAGGTGTCAGATATTCTTCTGAACACCTTACCTGGGCGCTGGTTTGGCTCCTCGATTCCACACGGCGGCCCTCTGCGGATCTCCATTGTGCAGCGGAGGACACCAAGGGTCAGGGAGATGATGCCACAGATCACCCCGCCAGGCAGAGGCAGAGGCGGAGACACAAACGCAGGCAGCCAGACTCCAGCGTGGTATGATGTGACCCAACTTACAGACTGAGGAAACTGAGGTGCCCACTAGGGACACTGCGGGAACAGAATAACGCCCCCCTCCCCCATGCTCATCTCCAGGACTTGTGACGACAGTACCTTACTCGGCGAGAGGGACCTTGCAGTGTGATGGGGAGTCGCTCCTGGGTTATCTGAGTGAGCCCAACGTAATCACAGGATTCTTGTAAGTGAAAAGGGGTCACTCTGGGAGCCAGAGGAGGGGGTGTGATGACAGAAGCCCACACTGGAATGAGATCCTCTGCAGACGGAGGAATGGGCCAGGAGCCAAGGGATACAGAAGCCTCTGGAAGGGACACAGCCCCGCCCACACCTTGATTTTATTTCAGTGAGACCCATTTCAGGCTTCTGACCTGCCGAGCTGTCAGATGATACACTGGTGTTGTCTTAAGCCACTAAGTTTGCAGTGCTTTGCTGTAGCAGCCATAGCGTCCTCGACGAGCACCCAGGTCTTCTCAGTGGTAGAGGTGGGATTGGAATTCAAGCCTTGAAAGTTCTGGATCTTCTGGGATAGCTCTTGGATGTGTTTGCAGATGCTGGGCTATGTGTGTGAATGTATGTGTATGTGTGAGCATGAGGCATGCAGAAATGTGTCAAGAAACCAGGAATTCTACTTACATAAGGATTAAGGTACCTGGTCACGAGAACTAGTGAGTGAACCCACGTGGAGCACATAGGGCAGTGCCTGACACAAAAGATGGCTTAACAGTTAAGATCATATCTCTTCTGGGTCTACACACCACCAGCGTCAGGCACCCTCACTCTCACTCACCTTCCATGGCTCTCCAGTACCCTGAGGGTAACATCCAAGCCCTTTATTGCAACCGAGAGCTCTGAGTCCTGACTCTCTCTTCATGGGCCACCCAGGAGATTGTCAACAAAGGAATGTCGCTCTCCACCTGGCTCTAGGAGGACTGTGAGTCATTAGCCACTACAGTCACTGACCTTTAATCCTTTAAGGGATCAGAAATGAGGTGCTCTGTGCTCTGCGGAAACTGGCAGAACAGGCCTTCAGATAGAGATTTTCAGGAAAAAATTTTATGAACCCAAATTCTTGTTATCATCTCCTACTTAGAAAGGCACTAAAATAATTAACTGAGCTATCTCGTGCCTCGTGAGCAGCAGCAGCCTTCTGCGGAGATGTGGGCTTGATTGCACGTACCTCTTCTCCAAAATCACGCATGTGCTGTCTCTCCCCTGACGCTCCATCTCTTTGGAGCAGTTCCTCCAGGAGGCTGTCTCCTGGGCTATGGTTCTCAGTAAGTACCCAGATAAAACTGAAACTCACAGCTCTCAGGTCATGTGCTTTTATTTCAGTCGACGAAACAAAATCACTCCACCCTCAGAGGCCAGGTTTCGGGAACTGCCTGGACTGGACTCTGCTGAGAAAGCCTTCCTGCACCTCTTTCTAAGTGTGGCTCATGAGATTTTCCTAAACATCCCCCACAACCACACACACACACTGACCACCACCATCTCCAGTTAGCCACTTCCTCTTCCAGGGGCCCCACGGCCCTGGCTACCTTCATTATAACATCTCATATTGTAACTAGGGATCCCTGTGTCTGCGCTCCAACCTGGGAACCTACCAAGTGCAGAGGCCTCATTCTGTGTGTGTGTGTGTGTTTCTTTTTCTTTGCAGGGTGGGGAGAGGCAATTAGGTTTCCTTACTGATGTGTTTATTTTAATGGAGGTGCTGGGGATTGAACCCAGGACCTCGTGTATGCTGAGCAGGTGCTCTACCATGAAGTTATAATCTCGCCACCCCAAGATTTCATTCTTGTTTGATCCCTGGGCCTCTGGCCTCAATGAACACTCATAGTGTCTATATGTATGCCTCTCTGCTTTCTCTTCTTTACTCTCAAGGAAGCAGATAGCTAAAAGTCCAAGTTGCCAGGGCCTTGGGAATTCTGCAGTGCAGAGGAAGAAAGATGTGGGTTCCAAAATGGGTGGCATCGATGGAGTATTATTTAGCCACGAAAAGGTGTGAAGCACTGACATAGGCTACAACGTGGATGAACCTCAAAAACGCGATGCTCAGTGAAAGAAGCCAGACACAAAAGTCCATGTATTGTATGATTCCTTTTTAAAATGGGATGTCCAGAATAGGCAAATCCAGAGAAACAGAAAGCAGCTGGGTTGTGGCCAGGGGCTTGCGGGGGGAGGGAATGGGAGTGCCTGTTTCACAGCAGGGCTTTCTTTCTGGGGTGATGAAGAAGTTCTGGAACAAGATAGAGGTGTGGGTTGCACAACATTATGGGAATGCTGAATGCCCCTGAACTGTATACTTTAAAATTACTTGTTTAAATTGAATGCTTTCAATATTACATGAATTTTTACTCAGTTTCTAAAAAAGAGGTAGCTGGAACTTCTGGGTCTGAGGGAGCAGGGGCTGGGGGACTGGACCCCTGGGTCTGAGGGAGGAGGGGCCTGGGGCCTGAACTCCTGGCTCTGAGGGAGGAGGGGCCGGGACCCAAACACTTGAGGACCAACAGGGAAGGAAGCCAGAAAGTTGAGGGCTGTTCTGTGGGACAGAGAAGAAAACGGTTACAGTACAGGAAGCAGTCATTTTCTGGGGGGAGGTTTCTCGGATGAAGATGTCATCATCCCAAGATCTCCTTTCCCACTTATACCCTGCCGGTGGGGAACTCCAGGAAGGGGGAGCGGAAGGCCAGTGTGGGAGGAGGCAGTGTCATCAGGGCCCCACACCCAACTGCCTCAGGAAGAGTCTGCACCAAGAAGGGCAGTGGACCCGCAGGCCTGGATTCTCGGTCCTCAAGGAGACAAGAGCTGGGAGGTGGGAACTCGGAAGTTAGAAACAATTGCATGTGTTCTGGAAGGAACTGGAGGCCTGGACTTCTGGGTCCCCAAGTGAGGAAGGGCGAGGAGAGGGGGAGGCTCAGATTTCTGGGTTCTGGGGGACGACAAGGGCTGGGAGTTTGAATGCTGAACTCATAAAGCTGCAGGAAGGAAGCTGGGGGCACCTGGAAGCTACGCTGCTGCCTGCTCTGTGCTGAACCTGGACGTGGCAGTTTGGAGGTAAAGTCCCTGAGAAAGTGGAGGTCACACTCTTGGCCTGACTGTTTCCTGCAGGCATTCTATCCTGGACTTTGGCTCTACTGGAACACCGACAGCCCCACCCCACAACACAGCCATCTTCCCCAAACCTCTCACCCAGCCCCAGTCTCAGGACTGAGAGAGCCAGAGGGAGCCTGACAAGTGAGCATCCTGGGGGAACCCAGAGGCTGGCAGTGGAGGGAGGGGCTGGGAGAGACTCAGAAGCTGGGTGGGGGGAGGACAGCTAAGAGAAACTGGGAGATCAGGATTGAAGGACTGTGCAGAAGATAGGAAAAGTGCCTCAAGCAGAGAACTGGCGCCTCAGGGGCAGGTGGCCATGATCTAACACACCTGGATCCTCAGGGCTGGTTCCTCACCTGAGAGACAGCAAGCGCCGTGGCCTCAGTCCCTGACCCTCTCCTTCCACTGCGGAGCCCGGCATGTGGGGCTACCTGTCCCTGCTTCCTGTCTTCCTGGCCTGCTGGGCTATTGCTGGTATCTGGACCGTGTGAGTCTTAGAGGCAGGATGGATGCCTGCCTCTGAAGGAGGGCCTGGGTACCTGCACCCCTGGGTCTGAGGGAGGAGGGCTTGGGGTCTGGACCCCTGGGTCTGAGGGAGGAGGGGCTGGGGGTCTGGACCCTGGGTCTGAGGGAGGAGGACTGGGGTCTGGACCCCTGGGTGTGAGGGAGGAGGGGCTGGGGGTCTGGACCCCTGGGTCTGAGGGAGGAGGGGCTGGGGGTCTGGACCCCTGAGACTGGGAAGGAGCTAGAAGTTCAGTTTCTGTGGGTAACAGAAAGAAAAGTTTCCTTCGAAAGCCCTCTACTCACTCTGCTGTGTCCCTGACCTCAGTTTTTCGCTCGCGGTGGTCCACAAGTCAGTGAACCTCACGGAAGCCTTCCCCTATATCAGGTAGTTTTGCCGCTGACAGCGTGGTGTGTACGTGGGTGTTCAGAGGGAGGAGAGGAGGGGTCCCTGCTTCTGAGGAGCTACAGGATGACCCTTTATCTCCCCCAGTCGATGTGGAAATTACCCTCCTGAAAGCTGCGTCTTCAGCCAGGTGCTCAACGTGGGAGCTGCTATGGGTAAATGTGACCCCCACCCCCCACCCTCCACACCCCAGCCACACCTCTCCTTTGGTGCTAGCCCTACCTAGCCGAGAGCGCCCCAGACTCCTCCTCCCCCAAATCCAGGAGTTGGGCTCCCACCCAGGGGACCTCAGTCTCTCTCCACCCCACCCCCTACCCCCTACCCAGGAGTCAGGGGCTCTGGTCTCCCTCCCACTTCCCTCTTCTCTCAGCTGCCTGGATCTGCATTCTCCGTTACCACCAGCTTCGGGACTGGGGGGTCGGAAAGTGTCCTAACCAGATGATCCTGTGGACGGGGCTCCTCTGTGCCCTGGGTACCTCTATAGTGGGCAATTTTCAGGTGAGACTGAGCAGCCTAGGCCGGGTACTGGTCAGCCAGAGCCTGGGACTACAACTCCCAGCATCCCCCGGGGCTGTAGGCTTCTTGTTTCAGGAGGCTGATTCCCGCGCAGCCTCCTGGGACTCGTATTTCTCTGTGGCTCTCGGGCTGTGGAGGGGGTGCATTCTGCTCTCTGAAAGAGGCCCCTTATAATCATTACGCTGAACCCTAGGATGTTGGGGGTAATTCACTGCCATGCCCCTCCTTAACTGATGAAATTTCTCAGTTCACTTACTCTTAATGAAGGAGGCACTACGATTTACATTGGGCAGGTTGTTTTACTCCATCTCCACAAGGACTCTAGGTAGGTCCTTCTTGGCCAAATCCCACAGAGATATTTCTTTATCACTGGGTTCGTGGTGGTCAGAGATGAACCCAGATTCGTAAACTCTATAACCCACATTCTTTTTTGTTTGTTGGTTTTGTTTGTTTGTTTGTTTTTGCCAGGGGGTAGTAATTAGAAATATTTATTTGTTTGTTTTAAATTTAATTTATTATTTTACTTGAGAGAGGAGGTAATTAGGGTTATTTATTTATTGTAATGGAGGTACGGGGGATTGAACCCAGGACCTCCTGCATGCTAAGCACAGACTCTACCACTGAGCTATACCCTCCTCCACAGCTATACCCTCCTCCACATTCTTAACCAGGAAGCTCAGTATATATTGTAGAATAAATAAATGGATGAGTGATAGGAGAAATCTTATTGGTTTATTTAATATCATTGTATTTTACTACGAAGCCTCTGATTCTAAACCTCTGCTGACAAAACTCTGGGGCAGCCACAGGGTGTTTAGACAGAAGGCTGCACTATTATCTATGGGGCTCTGTTACATGCCAGGCACTGTTTTAGGGATGGAGGTCCCAGCAGTGAACAGGAGATTTATTTATTTGTTTATTTAATTTTGTGGGGGAAGTAATTAGGTTTACTATTTATTCTTAAGAGAGGTACTGGGGATTGAACCCAAGGCCTCACGCATGCTAAGCATGCACTCTACCACTTGAGCTACACTCTTCCCAGAGCAGCAGGTGTGAATATCTGCCCCGTTGGAGCTGAAAAGAGCCAGCGCACCTAAGCAATAACCTAGTTGCCGGGAATGGCTGTTTCCAGTCACAGCCCGTTGGGTTGGTCCCAGGGGCCTCCCTGCACAGCATCGTGGCCCTTCCCCTCCCACAGGGCTTTCTCTCAACTCTGCTCCCTCCTCCTCCTCCCAGGAGAAGAACCTGCGGCCCGTGCACCTGACAGGGTCCTTCTTTGCCTTCTTCGTGGGAGTCCTCTACTTCTGGCTGCAGGTCCTTCTCTGCTGGCGGATGAAGAGCCTGCCCCAGCCTGGGGCTCCTTGGCTTGGGCCTCTCCGCCTGGTCCTCTGCAGCCTCTGCAGTATCCTCATAGTGACCAGTATCCTTTCTGTGGCAGGGAGGCAGGGGCTGGGGCGCTGCTTCCCCGGGGTGGGTCTGCCATTTACTGGTGTGGCAGCCTCTTCCTTTCTCAGCCTTGGTCTCCGTGCAGGGTTATAACGGAGTCTTCAGAGTGCTGACTCTGGGTTGGAATCCCACCACTTCTACATACCACTGGGCGGGAAACTCCGCTGGTTTCTAAACTTCTCCGTGCCTGTCTCCTCATCTATCAAATGTGGGTAATAATAAGGAACGTGAGGAAGGAAGGAGATGATATATATGAGGTGCTTACATCAGTGCCTGGCATAGTGTGAGTGATGCATAAATATTGGGAGAACAAGAAACCAAAGACAGCAGTCACTTTGGGGTACCCGCTCTGCTTTGGGCATCTTGCTGGCTAAGACTGGAGACTGAGGTTTGCACAGTGGGAGTGAGTCTCTGGGCCAAGAACTGTCCTGGAAGTTCAATGACAGAGCTGGTGTGGGCAGCAGAGGGCTCCCCTGGCCCCTACTTTGTCTCCTCCCAGCCCCTTGCATGGTAATGTCATGTTAGTAGCTTGAAATGGCCATAGTGAGAGTAGTCATTCCCCAGAAACTGGCAAATGTTACAAATCAGAGCCAGTCCTCACAAATCAGAGCTGGTTGTTACACATTTACCACTAGGTGAAGCCTGGATTCATACCCACTTCTCAGTCACCCCAGAACCTATCAGCACTGCACACCCCTGGGCAAGCCAAACCACTCTCTGAGCGTCAGTTTCCATAGCTGTAGAATGGAGTTGCTTTTATCAGAATAATGATGGTTCCTCTGAGAGAGGCTGAGTACTCTGAGCGAGAGGAGGGCTGTGAGCTCAGCCTTGGGGACTGCTTTCCTCTCTGGAGACAAGGGAAGGGGAGGCTGGGGTCCTTGGCATTCAGAAGAGGCTGGAGGGAACCAGCTGAGGCCAGCACCAGCAGCAGTGCTGCTGCTAAGATTCCGGCGACCCTTTTGAAAACCTCCACTGGGCTGATAATCAGTTTGGCTGCAGGGTCCTCCTGTGGGGCTCAAGTAGCCCTTGGCAGTGGGGAGGGGGGATGGGACCATAAGTGGTCAGTTGAGTGTGGTAAGGGCTGGGTGGCTGCAAAGAGAGGCCTGAGACCTGGTCTGTTTTCAGCTGCTCTTGCAGAACCAGACGTTTCTGGCCTGGGTTGGGAGGTTGGGGGGACACCACAGGTACTTGCAGAGGGTGGAAAAACCCTCTGAGGACCTCAGGGGAGGACCTGAGGCTGCTGGCAGGGCCAGAGATGAGGATCACTGGCATTCAGGTGAGGGATTTCAGGCTTGGGTTTGCCCGAGGGCAGTAGGGAGCCATAGATAGCTTGTGAACAGGGGAGGTACAAGGTCAGTTCTGGGGGTAAGCACTTGTGTTTGGGGGGCTCACACTTCTCCTTTGCTCTAAGATTGGTGGGGACAGGGGATGGTGTTGGCCTTAGTCACTGTCTAAAAATCTCTGAATGAATGAATGATGTCTAATCTGATCCAGGTGGGGTGAGTTGGAGCTAGCTTGGCTGAGAGGAGGAGGAGGAGTACTCTAGTGGGTGGGGGGATGGCCCCAGAAGGTGAGGGGCATCTCTGCCAGGTTGGAGCTTGGAGTATGTGTGGGCTGGTGCTTACCAACAAGTTTTAAGGAGCTGGGACTGGGGAGCTGGAGAAGGGACAGGACAGACCAGTAGAGAGATGCCAGGCCAGAAGGAGATGGACAGCGCAGTCAGGACACAACTTGGGGTGACCAGCTGGCCATGGAGATGAGGAAGGAGGGGTGAGGGCGGTTCCCAAGGGTCTGCTTGGATGCAGGAGTGGGTGGTGGTGTCATGGAGGTGGTGTCCTTCCACCCAGAAGGAGGAAGAGGTTTTAGGATGAAGTGAGATTCTGTTTGGGAGTGAGCAGGAGGCACTTGTGGGCCATGGGTCGGGGGAAGAGTTAAAAGCATAGCCTGAAGCCAGTGGGTGGGTAGGGGTTACTTTTAGGAAACCCTGCATTTTTGGAGGTAGAAGCAATGGCGGCTGGTTGGCCCTGGCAAGTGAGGAGACAGCAGAGCCTTCTCCGGGCCAGGAAAAGCCAACAGGAGACAAGAGCCTTGTTCTGGGATGTTGGGAATGTGATACAAACAGGAGAAACATGCAAGGAAAAAACTGGGAAACAGCTGGAGACAGAGACAGGGATTGGAGGGCATCCCTTTGGGGGCGTCTGGGTGTTGCCAAGGAGGGTGTCCAGCCAGAGGGGTCATTCTAGCCAGGGCAGGGTGGGCATGTCACGAGAAGGCACCCAGAGACGGCCTCAGCCTGTCCAAGGTTATATGGCAGCCCAGCCAGTCTCCCGCATCCTCCTGTGACGGTCTGCCCTTGACCTTGGTGCACAGTGGTCGTCCTCCACGTCCGGTCACTGCGTTCAGCCTCTGCTGCCTGCGAGTGGGTCGCCGCCATGCTGCTATTCATCCTCTTCGGCCTCTTTGCCGTGGACTTCTCCAGCCTGGGTCGCTGTACCCTGCATCTCCAGCCGGGCCCCAACAGCCTCAGCCCCCCGGCCTCCCCCATCTCCCTGCAGGTTCCGCTGTGAACCGCTGATCAGCACAGCATCTTCATACCTCCAGTTCCTGCCATCTGGTTCCGCCTCTGCGGTCAGGGCCACCAAGGAAGCGAGAGGCCAAGGCCAGCCAGCCATCCCTGATCAAGGATATTTATTATTATTAACTTTTTCTTTTTTGCCGCCGGCGGAATCAGAGACACGGACGCAGGCAGGATCACGCGAAATCAGAATTCCTTCCGGAGAGCAAATCCGTACAGAAGGTTGTGGGGGCCGGGAGAGGACCAGGAGAGGGGGGCCCAGGAAAGGGGAGTTGGGGACACAAGGACAGATGGCCCTGTCCGTCCGGATCTGCTAAGCCACCCCAACCAGCCCCCGTTCCCCCCCACCCCGCAGAGAGACTGATCAATAAATAAAATAATAAATTAATAAATAAAATAGAAACAGCTCCCCCACCCCCAGTCCCCCCTAGAACCACCCGCTGTTGGGCACGGCCCCCTGAGCCCCATCCCTGCAGGGCAAGGCCGGGTTTGTTGTGTCTCCCCCTCCCTACATACTCCATGGGCCCTATTTACAGATTCACAGTTGGGGGGCAGGGAAGGGGGGTGGAGGGGGCGCCCCTCCTTCCCCGGCCCCCTGGGGTCAGGGCAGGGGGGTCCCGTTGGTGGCCAAGAGCTTCTTGTCCTTAGGGGGACCTCGGCGGGGAGAACTGGTCAGCTCTGGGTCCGGGCGGCCAGGCGGGGGCTGCAGGCTTCGGGGTGGGGCACCGGCAGGCCGGGCCTGGGTGCCGTTCTTCTCGTCTGTGGGGGAGGAAGCGGTCTGGCCTCAGGAACCTCAAGGCTGCAAAGCCCCAGGGCAGGGGAGGTGGCTGCCAGGGGTCACACACACACCAGCAATCAGGCCTGGCTTCCCTGGAACCACCTGGCACATGTCTCCGGCGCCCTCTGACCCTCATGGCTTTGGAAACTGGGCCCAGCTCAGGACACACCCTCAGAGACTCTGATTACAACCCTGCTTGCTAAGGGATGCTGGTCTCAGCAACAGATAAGATTCGAGTCCCCCAGAGGATGGCCAAAAGGCCATCTTACCTTCCTGCTGGTTTTTAGAGAGTCTTGGTAATGGGGCCTAGGGGAGCCTACAGCAGTTTTGGGGGGAGGTCCTGAGCCTCCTAGTCGAGCTTGAATGATTGGGGTCACCTGACTGCCCCAGACTAGGGAGCTGCCTGGGCAGCACTGGTTGCCAGTGGTCATCCAGCAACTTCTGTGGGTCCCCAGACAGTACCTGAGGTCCTGGGGCAGAAACCAGCCCCCTTAAGAGACACTGATTGCTGGAGGCCTTGTTGCCATAGGAACCAATAAGTCAGCGGTCCTCAGGGCAGACCCAGAGGTGCCCCCCTGCCCCACTCCCCTTGTAAGGCCTGTGGCTCTGGCCCTTGGTGCCTGTGGGTCCCACATCCTTGGGGGTGTGCCCTTTTAGGAACTCTGGTTGTCATGGAAACCGGGTTCAGGGGGCCTTCCTCGCTTTCTGGTTGCCCCGGGGAACCAGGCCCTGTGGAGACCAGCAGAGAGCAGTTTCTCCACCTCCCCACTAGGGCCACTTGGGGCTGGGAACTCATGCTGCAGGAGCCATCCTGCACACTGTAGGACGCGTCCCAGCATCCCTGGCCTCCACCCACAAGAGGCCCCAAGCATGCCCTTCCCCCCCAAGCTGAGACAACCACAAAAGTCTCCAGCCGTTGCCAAATGTCCCCCAGGGGACTGTGGTAGGCTGAACAATGCCCCTCTCCAAAGATGCCCCCCTCCTGATGCTGAGAAGCTGTGAAAACGGCACCTTACAAAGCAAGGGACCCTGCAGCTGTGACTAAGGTTAGGACCTCCAGGTGGGGAGGCTGTTTGAGATTACCTAGGTGGGTCCTTAAAAGAACCTTTCCCCACTAAGAGCAGGGTCAGAGGGAGACAGGGTCAGAGGGAGACAGGGCCACAGAAGGACGCCAGGGAGATGCAACGTCACCCTCTTTGAGGATGAGAGAGGGAGCCGTAAGGAGCAGATGCAGAGGCCTCTGGGAGCGGGAAAGGCAAGCCCCGATTCTCCCTACACCCCCACCCTGAGCCTCCAGGAGGGAGTCCGGCCTTCCCTCTGGGCACCTTGGTGTTGGCCCAGTGAGAGTGTGCAGAACCCCTGACTTCTAGGCCTGTATGACAATAAGCTGATGTTGTCTGAACCATGGAGTTTGTGGTTGGTAGTGACCATGTCATCGTTGTCCTCTGGTTGCTAGAGAATTCTGCTGCTGATAGCCAGGGCTGGTGGGCACAGGGAAGCCCCTTCCTCCTGGAGCACAGACCTCACTCACTCCCAGGGGACACCTGAGTCCTTGAAAACCAGGCCCAGCAAGGCCAGAAGACAGGGTGCAACTGGAAGTCTTGTATCCCCAGAACCTCTCAGTCCCGGACTAACTGGGATGGCTGGTCACCCTCTCCAGAATACAGTTCAGGAGCCTCTGTTGGCAGGAAGTTCCGTTACCTCCAGAGAGCTGTCATCCTCTCAGGGACCCCTGGAGGTCCCCTCCCTAGCAAGGCCTTCTCAGGGTCAGGATGGCCTGGTTCCCACAAGCTCAGGCCCCAGCCTCTCCGGGAACCTGCTCCCAGCACTGCAGGTGGGAGCTGAAGGCAGCAGCACGTGGTCCCTGCTCCCCACAGCAGAAGCCTCGCCAGCAACCCAAACCCGGACACCGGTACCAGGAAGTCTCCCCTCTGCCCCTCGGGCACCCCACGGTGCTGCCCACCTGCCAGGGCCTGCACGGAGGGCTGGTCATGGGTGCTCAGCAGCTGTGCCTGGATGGTCTCCACAACCCGCTTGAACCGCCGGCTGGGCCCTGGAAGAGGCAGGGAGACTGACCGATGAATCAAAATCCAGTATTTTATGGCAGGATGAGAAAAACTCAAACACAAAATTTCTCTCTGCCTATTTGGGGCCGCCTCCCTTCCCCTCAGCATGTGCTGTGCATCTGCATTGACCAGACCTCCTTAGGAGACAGCCTTCCTTAATCCTGGAAGGGTCCACGGCGACCCAGGAACCACACCACTCACTTTGTACGTGTTAATACGTCCTTTAACGTACAGCCCCTTGTCTCAAAATCTTACAGAACTGTGCTTTGACCTCTAAGGGGCATGATAGTCCTCAGAGTATTCTGAGAGGCTTTTCCTGGGTTATATTCCTCAGGTTGGCTCAAATAAAATTTTCTATTTTTTCCTTAGATTGACTTACTAATTTTGCATGGACATGCAGGGCATAGTCGGCAGATGTCAGAGACACCAGGAGGCTACGCAGGACCTGCACTCGGTACCAGCATGGCCCATTGGGCCCCACCGGCTTCTTGGTACTGCTCAGGTCTTCCGGTAAGTACTCCTGACACCTGGATCTCATTGTTGGAGAGATGATCCTGAAAACTTTATTCAAGCTGTTTTTACTTAAGACTTGGAGTCTTAAGGGGCACTGGTGTATTTCCTAGGCTGGGACCTAGGGGCATCTGGACAGAATGCCCAGGGAAACATAGGTGGCTGGGTTTTTGTTAAATTTGGCTTAAACTGGGTGGGGGGATCCCCAATGCGTTGTTACATGCTTTGAACAAAACTTTTTTTTTTTTAATTTCCCTTGAGGGAGGTACTGGGGATTGAACCCAGGACCTCGTGCACGCCAAGCACGTGTTCTACCACTGAGCTATACCCCCAACCCCACCCCATGAACAAAACTTTTGCTAATGAAGTAACAGTCTGAATTATTCAGCTCTGAGGAACAAGGGAGACCCCCTACAAGCATTAAGTAAAAACTGTTCATCTGTGGAGGGGCGTGAGGGTGGCACACCAGAGGCGGATAACAGCGTTCCATGCACCCACGGCGGTTTTAGACAGTCAGGGAAAGAAACCAACACGTGTATGCGTCCAACTGACCCCAAGGTAAATCCTTGGGGAGCGAGGCTCAGAGTCAGCACACATTCGATCTACCACAGTGTCCTCAGAAAGCTGCTCAGACCATATCTCATATCTGAATTAGGCTACGAAATTAATACTGGGAAGCTGTGCCTCAAAGGCCAAACAGCTCCCGTGCAGACAGCCGCCTATGGGAATACCAGCTGCTTCCAAGTACTTAATAGGGAATTAAATGAAACGAAGCCCTGAAATGGCCACGATGGGGTTTTTGTGTGTGTGTGTGATTTTTTTTTTAATTGCAGTATAGTTGACTTACAATGTTGTGTTAGTTTCAGGAGTACAGCTTAGTGATTCAGTTATACATATATATTCTTTTTCGGATTCTGTTCCATTACAGGTCACTGTAAGATACTGAATGTAGTTCCTTGTGCTGTACAATAGATCTTTGTTGTTGATTTATTTTATATATAGTAGTGTGTACCTGTTGATCCCAAACTCCTAATGTATTCCTCCCTCCCACCCCTTTTCCCCTTAGTAACCATAAGTTTGTTCTCTATGCCTATGAGCCTATTTCTGGTTTGTAAATAAGTTCATTTTTTCTTTGTTTTTTGTTTTGACTCCACATATAAGTGATATCATGTAAGATGGGGTTCTTTCTTCAGCATTCTAAAACTGCAGTTAAAGCCTGGAGTCTCCTTTAGCTCGGGGAGTGGGAGTAGGGTATAGCTGGGGGTGGGGGACGGTAGAGCATGCACAGGGTCGTGGGTCCAATCCCCAGTACCTCCTCCAAAAATAAATAACCTAATTACCCCCCCCCCAAAAGCCTGGAGTCTCCTGGATCTGTGCCTGCAGGGTCTACTGGAAACAGCAGCAGCTAAGAGTTTTTCTCTTTCTTAAAATTAGATTAGCAGGGGGAAGTATTTGCAGCACTGACATCTTGGATCTTTTGAATTGGAAAAACTTCTAAACTGTTAAAATTTTAGATATCTCTCACTTAAACCATTGTACCTATTTTCATTTGTATGCAAAAGCCCCAAAAGGCTTCAAAATTCCAAAATAGCCTCTTTGAAAGATTTGTTGTAGAAGGCTGATGAGAGATTAATGATGTAAAAGGTATCTAAAACTTTAACTACTGCTCCTTTTTTCCTTTTTTTCTTTTTTAATGCAGAAACTGATTTTTAAAAATTTATTTTTATTTTATTTTTTAAATTTTTGGGGGGGAGAAATTAGATTTATTTTCAGGTTAATTTATAATTAGGTTTATTTTTACTGTGTTCATTTTTAGCGGAGGTACCAGGGACTGAACCCAGGACCTCGACTAAGCTATACCTTCCCCACCCTTTCCTCCTTTATCTGAATACTCATTCCAGTAGTCTGTCTGAATTGTCTTTCCCCTCTGAAGATACTCTTAAGTGCTTATCTTTAGAAATGGGACCACCTGAGGCTACAAGTGAGCCTCTTCGGAT